AAAAAAAAAAAAAACCCATGGAGTTGAGCCATTTTGGGGATATGGTGTGCGAAACAAAAGTTAGGAACATTTTAAGAAAATAAACAGGGAAACTTTTTTTAAAACATCATGAGCCAGATTCTCTGTTCATGTAAACTTTCAGCTATGACTAAACCAGTTTAAGAATCAAGCTCCATAATTTTAAAACTCCCTTTCTGATTGGTTAGTTGGTATGTTTCTTGGGATTTTTTTTTCTTTTCTTTTTCTTCTAGACTTCCCAGAAAATCTGTCCTGGCATAGAATTTTAGGACTGCAAGGGACCTTGAGAGGTCATCTAGTCCGGTCTCTTGCCTCATGGCAAGATTAAGTATTATCTAGACCATTCCTGACAGGTGTTTGTCTATCTGCTCTTAAAAATCTCCAATGATGGAGATTCCACAACCTCCCTAGGCAATTTATTCCAGTGCTTAACTACCCTGACAGTTAGGAAGTTTTTCTTAATGTCCAACCTAAACCTCCCTTGCTGCAATTTAAGCCCATTGCTTCTTTTCCTATCTTCAGAAGTTTAGGAGAACAATTTTTCTCCCTCCTCCTTGTAACAACCTTTTACGTACTTGAAAACTATTATCATATCCCCACTCAGTCTTCTCTTTTCCAGACTAAACAAACCAAATTTTTTCAATCTTCCCTCATAGATCATGTTTTCTAGACCTTTAATCATTTTTGTTGCTCTTGTCTGGACTTTTAGCGTGTAAACCAGGCATTGCTATCCAATGATTTTGTGAAAAGATATAGTTTAAAAAGAGAGAGAGAGATGGGTAACCCATTTTGAAGAGCAGCTGCCTAAATCGTATCAGCCATTTCCTCATGACCAAAAGGGCATGGTGTGCAGTGACTCATCCTGAGCTTCTATGGCCTCATTTGCAAATGCAGATATGACTTTTGCACAAGCTGTTTAGGCAGACACCCATAGAGCTGGGTAAAGGTGCCCAGGATTTCACATGAAGCTATAAGTTGGACCAAGGCTGTGTCAGAACATAGACCCGAGCTCGCTGAAAGGTGCGAGCCTTACTGAGCCTGGTCTGAGTTTGGAGTTTGCAATGAAATGAGATTCACTGAGTTTCTAGTTTCCATTGCCACAGTGTTCCCCTGGTGTAGTCAAAGCTACGGTGGAGGTACTGCTACAGTGCAGACTATCAGCTCATTCCAGGCCTCCTAATTGCTAGTAATGGGTGAACCTCAAAATCTTCAGTGTTGGGTGAGTTCAGTGTTAAACCTGAGAGTCTGGATGCTTATCCCAGCCTCTTGGGACTGCACAGCTGGGCTGCAAATTTCACCAGTGCCACCTCTCACAAAATTGGTGGGATCTCGTTCTGGCCAGGTTGGATTCAAACCAAGCAGCCCCTCTTAGTATTCTGGCACTTCTGCTTCCAGGCCCACCCTTTCAAATCTCAAAAAGGTTCAGGTTGGGGCTCAGTTTGAGTTCTCGGGACAGAGACAGGTGGCCCTGAGCTGCTAAATTCACACCCAGATCAGATCTTGTCCAAAATTTAAGGTGCTTGGTTCTGGAGTGTTGGTTTGGTCCATTACAGAGCAAGAAAGTCTCAAAGTTTGGCTCTGGACCCAAACTTCAACCAAGTTTAAGTGATTGGATCCAAAGCATTGGTTCATCCCCTTCACCAGTCTACTCTGAGGTGTTCGTTTCAAAGATAGCCACAAAGTTTGGATTCTTCCCAACCTTCAGCAATGTTCAGAGCTGAGGTTTTGGCCAGGCCCTTCTCTAATTCTGGGCAAAGGTTCAGGCCGCTTATTTATGCTGAACTTATTCCTCTTATCCCTGTTCCTAATGTGACCAGGATTCAGCCCTGTGGCAGAAATGTTCATATAGGGAGTGTCCCAGCAGCTGTTTCACATTCTGCTGCTGCATCTTGGATGGAGGGAGGGGGAAGGAGAGGCCATGCAGTTCCAGCACAGAATGAAAAGGGAGTATTTTTTGAACCATAAGGAAAGGTGTAATGAGTTATAATGGGACAGGAGGCACACAAGGCAGCAGCATTGGGCCAGTCATTTCCCATAGCTTCAGTTCACAGCCCACATGCAGCAAAACTCCACCCCACACTCCCAATGCAAGGAGAAATGGGAAATGAACAGAGCTGCTACTGTGACCCTGGTCAGTAGGAGCTTTTAATTCTTACAGTAAGACTGTGTTAAAAGACAGAACAAATAAGTTTACTGAATCTGTCAGACATGGCTAGGTGTATCACTGGAATTAACTGAAACTCACACAGTGTCCTGTCTCAGCATGCAGAGTCTGGTTTCTTTGGAGACCTGGGATTATTCAGTGACTGTCCTGACTCTGGTTGTTCCAAAGTCCTGGTTAGGAGCATGGACACATGGTCTTTCCTGAACATTTCAACTGAGGGAGGTATTAGAAAAACAAGTTTTGTTGTGGCTCTTTTCACACAAGACCTGAGTCCTATTTCAGGGTTGCTCACTGTACAGGATTCACTTGGGTAAAGAGAGCCTTGTGCACCTGTTCCACCTCTCCAGCCAGAAGTCAGTAGATTGGTTGGGATGAGGACATCAAAATTATCTCTCCTAGGAGAATGTCAAGGCCATTTCTCCCTAGATTTTAAGAATGTGAAAAAGTGAAAATGTGAATAGAGAACACTTGACAGATTCTCATATACAGTCGTGCATAATCCTCCACTGGTCTCAGAGGAAGAACTAGGGGCCTGATTCAAGCCCACTGAAGTCCATCTAAAAAAACCCCATGAAGTTCCATTTTCTCATGATCTACATAGTTAGCTTCTCAAGAGAGATCTCCTCATGCTTGTTTTCTCTGTTTCCTCTCCCCTCTACTCTATTATTTTGCCTTGGGAATTTTGTATAACTGGATTCCTGTAGGGACTTTGTAGTTCTAAGGCCCATGGAAGAAACATTAAAGAGTAAACCTTTCTGCCCCAGTATACAGGGATAGTGGGCATTACCAGAACCCATGTGCATATTTTCAATGCATTGTAGTATGTTATTTTATCTGCTATGTGTCAGTGCTAAGAGCAGTGAGATTCTCCCCAGACGCAAGACATGGCACCATGGAAGTTTTGTAGCAGCTGTGAAATTCCCAGAACAGCAGCTTCCTGTTTCAAAGCAACTTTGGGAGCATCTAGAAAAAAAGATGCTACTCTAGACAGCCTTACTTTCAGGTGTCTTTTTCTTGACTTGATACTTTCCTGCAGGAAAGGTTTTAGTCTTGATGATAATTATTAAATATCAACACTGTTCTCAATAATATTATAAATTCTGCATCTCAGCCAACTGGGAGCTTGGAACTAATCGTGTGTATTAAGTATTAATATTAAAGGGACAGAGTATTAAAATGACAGGCTAAAAATTATGGTTTAGGTCCATGTCTGTGCTTGAGAAGGAAGAGATGCTTTGGAGGCATTGAACCCATGTAGCAGCTCCTATGTCACCTTTACTTCCTGGGGCTGATGAAGAGAAAAGATGGCTTGACCAAGGCATCCTTGGATTATGACAATCACTGATTGACTTTTGGAGAAAAAAGTAGGGGGGCCCTGAATGTCAAGTGCCTTGATTTTATTTAAACAGCAGTGAGAAGTAAGAGGGCCATTAGACAGAAGTGAGATAGCCACCTTACTACTTTTAGGGGTTGGTTTCTCTCTCTCCCCCCCCCCCCCCCCCCCCCGCCCATTCCTCCTAAAATTTGAGCACTGCTGACAATCCCCGGTGGCTGGAATGAGCCTTGTCATGGCTATTGTGGGCACAGTGGGGCAGGGCAGTTCGAAGGAATGAAATGGCATTAATGCTCAAAAGAGGAAGTTTGTTCTGAGAAATATAAGCTGACATAGTAGGAATGGTGCTGGAATGGTGAAGAGATCCCATACTGTCCTCACTACTAAGCAATGTCTCTGAGGAAACCTGGAGGCAGGAACAGCATGTGAGCTGTATTTACTTGCTGACTGTGTTAATGCCGGCAAGCCCGGTGACTCTGGAGCCCTATAGGCCAGAGGCGCTGCTGGATGGGCTTGGCAAATGATACTCATGCAGCTTGAGCATCTTAAATATTGGACACCTTGCTAAGGAGCCCACACCTGACAATATATCTCATCTAGTCAGGTGTTTGATCCTGCTGTAGCAATGTTCCCTCTAAACTTTCCATATTCAGCCCTTCACTCAAACTCTTGTATCTTGGTGCTGCTCATATGGGGCACATTCTTTTAAACTTGGGTGCCTAAAGCTAGACACCTGATTCCATATTAGGCATCTAAATAAATGTAGGCACCTGACCATTTCCATTTACTTCAAAGGCAGCTGCAGGTGGTAAGCACCTCTCCAAAATCAGGCTAGATCTTTAGATGCCTAAATATGGATTTTAGATGCCAAATTTGAAGATTTTAGACATGCAAGATCACCTCCTGTATTCTAAGACCCTGCTCCTGAAACTCCTCCAACTCAAACAGGGTGAGTCAGATGCAGAAAGAATCTTTAACATGCGAATTTCCTGGTTTTGATTGGCTGAAGTCAGAACATTATTATTTTAAATACATAGGGTTTTTTTTGTTTTTTTTAAAAGGTATGTTGTATGCATAAATGGATGGGTGGGAGGACAAGAAACAGCATGTCTCTCCCTCTCCCCTCCCCTCCCCTCCATGCCCTGTGATGGTGTTCTCATTATGCCAAAGGCAAGCTTAGGAGAAATGCTGGGGATCAGTAATTACATTCTGGCTTGCTGTGGAGGATAATTTCAGTCTTCACAGTTGCCTTGATTTGTCTGGGATACATAGTGACAAACTACCTTTGTTCCTTGTTCCTTGCCTTTGGTTTCAGTCCATCATCTTTTCCTGTTAAATCTCTATTTCACTCCATAGTCCCTTCCATCAGATCTCCCACCAGACCAGCTTGCCCCCTTCCGTCCCTGACCTGTGCTCCACAGAGAGTTCTAGCCATGAAGGAGCAAGAAACCAGCAGTTCTGATCAATGTTCTCTTTATTCCACAGAGGACGATGAAGAACTTGTTCCTCCTGCTCACGCTAACAATGATGCCACTTCCTGCATCTTCAGTAAGTTAAGCACCTTTTCTCAAGAGTGGCTGTTACCAGGGATGGCATGAAACTTGGAGTAGAGGGTTTCAACTTTGGCAGCTAAAGTGTTTGTAGAGAACTTAGGGTAATGGGTGTCCTGTTTGAAAATGACTATATACATGCACTTGAAAAAGTTAATACTTGACTGACATACACTTGATGTTGTATCTGTCCTCCACGTCTCCACCAAGGTATTGGGGCCCAGTCACCACACACACTGAGGTATATATGTTAGAAAGTCTATACTGGCAGTTTTAATAGTAAGTCATTGATAGTGATTCTGTGGCTACATGGAACTAGACAATCATGAGGTATGCCACCTAGACCTAATGGTTGTCATCAGTGGAGCTAGAACTGTGAACCTTCTGCTCCAAAACTACAGGCCTCTGCCACTTGAGATAAGGGAGAATCTCTGTTAGTTGTCATAAGGATTGTATGCTCTACACTTGAGCAAGTCTGACTTTCTAGTATCCAATAGAGCAGAGGTGGGCAAACTACAGTCCGCGGGACTGTCTTGCCAGGCCCTTGAGCTCCCGGCTGGGGAGACTAGCCCCCAGCCCCTCCTCTGCAGCCTCACCTCACCTCACCGTGCCACCAGTGCTAAGGCCTGCCGCTCCTGCTGGGCAGCACAGCAGTGTGGCTGGCTCTGGCCAGACAGTGGGACTGTGAGCTCCTGCTGCTCTGAGTGGAGTAGTAAGGTGGCGGGGAGCTGTGGGGAGGGTTTGATAAGGGGCAGAGGATCCCCGGGGGCAGTCAGGGGACAGCAAGCAGTTGGATGGGGTGGACATTCTGAGGGGTCGTGGTCAGGGGACAGGGAGTGGGGGGGTTGAATAGGTGTGGGAGTCCTGGGGGGCCTGTCAGGGGGCGGGGGTGTGGATAGGGGTCGGGGCAGTCAGGACTGGGAGCAGGGAGGATTGGATAGGGGGCAGAGTCCCAGGGGGGCGGTTAGGGGTGGGGGGTTCTGGGAGGGGGTGGTCAGGGGACAAGGAACGAGGGGGTTGGATGAGTCGGAGGTTCTGAGGGGGGCAGTCAGGGGGTGGAAAGTGGGAGGGGGCAGATAGGGGGCAGAGGCCAGGCTGTTTGGGGAGGCACAGCCTTCCCTTCCCGGCCCTCCATACAGTTTTGCAACTGTGATGTGGCCCTTTGGCCAAAAAGTTTGCCCACCCCACAATAGAGGATAGTGGTACACACACATGCTAGTCATTGCATTAGAAGGTCCATGAGGTAGTTGGGTATGCTACACAATCTCTCCTTGCTAGCTGCTAACACAATTGGCTCAAAACCAGCACCCTTGGCCAAAAAAGAGCCAAAAAAGTTCATCCCATGTGAGCAACGCACCACATTGTTCCATGAAACTGTGAAGCGGGAGAATCTCTGGGGGATGGCTTTACGCTGCTCGTCTCTGATATTAGACAATGTGTCCTAAAGTCAGTAACTTCTCTTGAAAGAATGTGTAATGGATGGAAACGGTGGTGCATCTGTAGAGGAGGGAAAGTTTAACAGTCTGTCCTTAAGTGCCTCTGTGGTGTGAGAGCCACATTGGATGCTGGAACTGCCCAGCTAAGAAGGTGTGAGGAGATGCTCTTTAATAGCCGAGAGAGGAATGGAAGCACCACCGCATTCAGATGGGTCATTCCTAGTTCCTTCCATGACAGATTAAAGGCATAACTCCTCATAGTCATAAAGGGAATGTCACGCTTAATCTGCCTCACGTGGCATTAAAAATGTCCCTCCCCCATTTGTGATTCCTGCAATCACAGAGATCAGTGAGAATTTGAAAATAACTGAACTGGAAGGTGTACTTAAACATTTTGCTGGAGGCACAGTTTTCCTCTAATGAAAGGTATTGTGTCTTTAAAATGGTGGAGCTCTGTTACTCCTCTTCTGATGTAGTAGGAGCTAATCCCAGAGCAGCCCTGCTGCTGAGGCAGGAACAGTTGTTTTGTGTTCACTGTCAAACAAGTCACATGCAGAATAGGAGTCAGGTGAGATGGTTGTATTTGTATAAAGGTAATTCACCCTTCAGTCTTGCCAGAGTAGTATGGACCTCTGAAGTCAACGGTACTCCAAAAGAGGCTTAAAGGACTGTCCAGTGACATGGCAGCATGAAAAAAAAAAACTAACCATCATGTGTGGGCTTCATTGTAGACACAGTAACTTTTCTGTTGTAAATCGTTCTCAACCTTTTGCCTAGAAATACAGACAGAAGTTTTTCTGATGAATCAGAGCATAGGCAACTGTCATTGCTGGAGGCTATTGACATTTTGTATTATACAAATGCACAATGTTCTGTCAAGGGTTGAGTAACAAACCAGGGCCCTTGGACAAAAACATCTGGCTAAATACCTCTAATCACTACTGTCAAGCACATATCTTCCATTGGGCCATAAAACCACTAATATCAGGTTACTGCTAATGTTTCTTCTTCTATAGAAGCCCCAGGTCAAAAGTCCATGCTGTACCAGCTGACACTGGGTTTTTGCTATTCTAAAAGAGCCCAAATTTAGAACATTTCCTGGTAGGTGCCAGAAGGATAGAACTTTAGGAGTTACCTTCACATTTGCTGGAAATCTAAACCCAGGAAATGAATTAAAAGCTCTCTATATGTAGTCTTTTAGAAGGGGCTAGCTAACAGAAGGTAGCTCCCCAAAACACTAGCATACTTTTGCTGCTATATAATTTAATAATAATAATAAATATTTTACCTCTTGAAAATATTTATATAACCCTATTTTCATGCTTTACATATGTCATAAGTGACATGTGTGTCTCTACCTAGTCTCAAATCCAACATGTCCATATTATTGGCCAGTCTTTGCTCAGAATAAATGTAGGTTTGAAAGAGATGGGGTACTGCAGTGCAGGACTGAGATATATTGACAAAACTCTGAGAGGAGCCAGAGCTGGAATAGCAGGGGCATTGGAGGGTCAGCTTGATAGGAACTTACAGAGTTACTATCGCTGCCTCGTGGGCAATGTGCTCAGATCGAAAACATAGTTGAGGTGTCAAGTCAGTAAAGAGGTCCATTCCCAAAGCTGTGTAGGGATTGAATAATAGGGATGATGCAGCTGAGTTGGAGGGGCTCTGGGAGAGCTATATGTGAGAGGCTTGTGCTGTGCCTTCCTGCACTGTACAGTATTTGCCTTTAATTCTTTCATGGACAATAAAATTAATCAAATTAATTCCCCTGCCTCCCACACCAGTGCCTGAAAAAGAATCTACATGCCCTGTCCTGCTCCCACAGTGTCATTGGCTGAATGCTATGATTCCCCAGCTGAATGGGTACATGGACAGGCTAGCATATGACAGCAAACCACTTATGGCTTCATGGATTAGTCGGAGGTTCTGATCCGGTTTAGTCGGAGGTTTAACAGTATGAGGAGAAGCGCATAAGGAGGATGTGTGCAGGGGTGCTGAAAAGGATGTATGCGGACACAGTGATTTTGCCTCCTCCCCACCCCCACCCCCGGCTTTTTAGTAGCTGTGAATGTTGTGGAAAATCCAGCTGTCTCAGCTCTGAGAACAGCGAGCGGAGATTGATGAATCACATCATGGGTCTGAATCTGCTCCCACTAAAGTCAATGGGAGTTTGAACACTGACATGACTGAGAGTAGGAGTGGGCCCAGTGCGTTCCAAAATTGAGTGTGTGCCCACACAAATCTACAAAAATTACAGTCTGCTGGCTTCTGAAATTCCCAGGTACCATTGGGTGGGAGGGGAGTTTGGGAAGAAGACCTTCTGACAATGAACCGCGTGCCCTAAAGGACGCGTGCTGCCTGGCTACACTGATTGGGACCACTTCCATGTGATGACATTGCCTCAAAACAGACTGCCTTCTGTGGAGGTGGCTCGAGAGCATGGACTTGGAAACGATACAAATTAATAATGATAGTGCAAATATAGAAATCAAGTTGGTGTGAGCTGCAGGCAGGGGTGTGTGTTTCTGCTTGTGAACGGCCCTCCTTTAATTTGTTTGAAGGGTGTGTCCTCGTGGCTGCTCTTTTCCTTCTCTTCTCCCTTTTCATGTTCCTGGTTTTAGTCTGAAGTAGGCAAACTTTATTTTAATGACATCAGCTGTCAGACCAGGGAAGGCAGCAGATAACTGAGTGGGGAGGTGCTGGCATAGGCGACAACTGAGAATTTGGTCTGGGTCCAGCCTCAGCAGGGTGTCTGAGATTCATGGCCAGAGTGAGCTGCAGCCTGCAATAGCTAGCAGAAGGTAGCTCCCCAGATGAACTGTCTGCCTGCGGCACCAGCTGGCTGATATGAGTTTCTCTCCCAGTGCTCCATCCTCAGAAGCACCTGCTGTCCCAGGCTTTGCCTCCCCTCCTTGCCAGCCAGAACATGCTGGTACCAAGCAGAACTGGCAGGATCTCTCCCTCCTCTTCCCAACACATGAGGGACCCCAGGCTCCATATAGGGGACCCAGGGAGGAGACCAGCCCAGTTGCCAGCATCTCCTCTGTTGTTGTTTGTATTAGTAGTGCCTAGGTGCAGGATACAGGCTCATTGTGCTAGATGCTGTACAGACAAGTAACAAAGACGACAGTCCCTGCCTCCTAGAGCTTCGCTCTAGGTGTCAGACAAGACAAGACAGATGGACAACACAGACAAAGGCCTCAGTGTAGACAAGCCCTAATGCTGCTTCTATTCTAGGAAAGTTGGGATCAATGGTAGTGATGGTGGAGGCTAGGATTGAGGCGTTTTTTATCACTGAGACTCAGAGCAGGGGGAGATAACACAACAGTAAAACTGCCCAAGCTCTGTCTACAGAACAGCTTCCACCACTTCTATTGCATGTGGAGCTGTGCCACGGGAGACTAGAGTGAATTTTCCTGCTGTAGACAAAGCCTCAGATGACAGCCACTTTCTCAAGTTCTTGCACATGAGTCATCCTTCCCTCTTGGCTATGCAGATTTTTATTATCATGCTGAGGTTTGTCTAGCACATAATGGGCCTGATTTCTAGCCAGGCCTTG